GAGCAGATTTTGCTAAGTAAAGTAAGCCAGCCACAAAACAACAAATACCACACGGCTTCATTGGTGTGGATCTTCCGAAGCTGGGCTGTGGTACTTCTACATCACCACCACCTGCTTAAGAACTATCTAAAGGGGCTCTGTGAGCAGAAGAAAATTTGAAGTCAGTATTCTTTACTCATGAGCATTTTTTCATTCACTTCCTTCACATATTTTATGCCATTACATATTTTCATAAAAGTGCTTTTATTGATCACTTATATTCTCTATAACAAAAAATATAGATGCACATATGCACACGTGCATGCCTATATGCACGTGTGATACACAGATAGAGGGAAATCAATTTTGTGAAAAAGTCCTGTGATTGAAATTTTAAACTTTGAAAAGCATCAAAAAGACAATCATTATGATCATTTACACAAAATTAATTCAAAAAGAGTAAATTATAAATTTTGATAAATTCTATTAAAGTTGTTAGAAGTTAATCTTTTGATAGAGTCTTTCTTTTTAATGTTATCACTTATTCCTAGAAAATAGATTTCTATATTAGTGCTTTTCTTGCTTGTAGTTTCATTAGTATAAGCAACAGAGAAAATGTATTTGCCTAAAAAATAAGATAAGAATGAAATGAATTTCCTTATACTGATATCATTTAATTTTTCCAATTCTCCTGAGTCCTATGACCCCCTCTAAAATCACCCACTGTTGTAGTATCAGAAATTATTTTATGAAATGCATAAAAATATATCAATTGTATTAAAATAGTCCTTTAGTTTCTCACCATCTTCAGGAAGATTTAGACTCTCCTCTGTTTGTGCGTGTGTGTGTGTGTGTGTGTGTGTGTGTGTGACAGTGTGTGCATGTATATAAGAGTGTCCTGGAAGTCCATACTGCTCAACTTCATTGAAAGGAGAATGGTGCACTGAAGTTGAGGTTTTGGAAACCAGGCAGCAAGCCTGTTTTTAGGTGAATCAACATCAGCTATTTGAACATCTCAAAATTAATTCACATAAAACTATACCTATGTCATTCTTGCACTTGTCTTCATTTTTAAGGATACTAGTATAAAAGAACTCTTCTACACAGTATAAACAAAGTGCTTGTTTGAGAACTGAATAAATGTGAATGAAATGAATAAAATATATGAAAGAAAATTAATATAATTAAAGTTAGTTATGAGTAAGTTATTGCATATATAATTTGATAAGTAGCTATGTGACTTTTGGAGAATTGTCATATACTGTATTTGACAATTATTTTGTACAAATCTAAGCTACAATGTACATTTAAATGTATGCTTTTGTCAATACTGATGATGAAAACTCATAAAGGTATCATAATATTATATGTGGTCAACAGATATAAAATTAATTTTCAGTTCAGAGTTTTGTAGGAATTTCTTGGTACCCTACAAGAACCATTTCTTCTAGAACCTCAGACAGTTTCTTTATGTCCTAAAAAGCTTATATTCCCTGAGCACTATCCTTTTGTCACTAATGGTGAAAAAAGCCCTTGTCCTGCCTTGCATCTCTGAGAAAGAAGAGGAAAACATCAAAATAGGTAAGGACCTCAACTTGAGACCCTTTGTTGACTGACCTTGGTTATGGCCACGTCTACCATAGGAATTAAAGCTTCTCCCACTCAAAGCAGTCTACCTGCCAAAAGCTGAAGTCCCATTCACAAATCATTCTTCCTAGGAAGGCCTTTTTTGAAAATCCTTTTAATAATAAAGTAATGCACACAAAAGGTATTGAATTTCCAACTTGAAGGTCCTATTTTTTTTAACCACATATTTTTGCTGAGCAAGTGAAAGGATCATGCTGAGACCTAGGAGAGCCCCACGCAGTGGCCAGAGGTATGGAACCTCCCATGACCCTTGAAGGGCCCTGGGAAGGGATGGATGACACATCCAAGATAAAAATCACTAATTTTGTTTGTAACTAGTCAACTACTATTGGCAGATTTTCAGATCGCCTAAATCAGCATAATCTATGAGATTTGCCATGTGTTAGAGCCATAAAGGAGAACAGAGAGCAGATGTCTGGGCACACAGACAATGTTTTTTGACATGAGAGGACTCAGCCAGGAGTATCTCCCTGGAGCCTAAGTGAGTTCCATATTCAAATGTAAAATATGGAAAGGTTTCATCCAAGGGACCACATTTTCCTACTCATTAACACCCTGGATTATCTTTCCTCCTTCATCTCTCGTTCCGGTTTCTTGGCAATCCTGACTCTGGGCACACCCTCAGCATCTACTCTCCGTACTCTTGCATCCAGCCCAAGCTGCCAACAGCCAGGAGGAACCAGTTCTCTTTGGATTCATGGCAAATTGCACCACACAGCCTCCGCAGGGGCATCGATATGCTCTCCAGTTTCTAGTCAGTTCTGTGGCCCTTTTCCCAGGAAAACACTGAGCTCAACATTTTTCATTCCCTCAATCCTCACTCATGATGACTATCCTCACTCCTCTTCAGAGGTCCCATAGCTGTTGGCACGTGCAACTGTGTTGTCTTTAATCATTTTGCAGTATAGTATTCTACATTTGAGGAAACTGGATATAAACATGGCAAATGAGTTGTCCAAGGCCATTCAGTTCAGCTGGTAAAAGAGCCAGGTCTAGAGGCCTAGCCTGCTAAATCCAACCATGCTTCTCTTTCTAATTCATCAAATAGCTCTCTTATAAAGACAAGCAATTTTCCATAATAAAAGTAACTTCAGAATCTCAGAGTAGGAGGAGAATCTTCAAAAGGTTAGGGACTGGTAACCCAATACTGTAGAACTATTGTTGCTACCTTTTCCCTGTCCTTTTTCTTCATTAAGCCAAAAAATTGGGGATGTCACATTGGTTCACAAAGTTAAATGTACTTTTCCAGTATTTAAAAACACCTCTTAGTTTACATTATAACAGCTAACAGAATAGGACTTGCCCAAAGAAGTCATAACTTACAGAATTTTGGTTTGGTTGGTTGGTTATTTGAGTTTTTGATGCTTTTTGTGTAACCTACATTTATCTCCTCTTTCTTTTGCCATGGTGTCAGCAGGGATGCTAGCTTGCAAGGCTGAGGCAATATGCAGGACTGTTGAAGGCAGCTTCTACAATGGACCCCAAAGCCACCTTGTCTGCATCTTTCTACCTTTGTGTAATCTCTGCTCTGTGGAAGTAGAGTTGATTCACTTCTCGAAAATAACCCAACAGCAGTTGTGACAAATGTTGACTCCATCATTAATGAATAGGAAGTGGGCTTTCATCTCGAAAGCCACAGTGGTCTACTATCTCTCTCTCCCTCTCTCTCTCTCTCTCTCTCTCCTGCTTAATAAGTGCTACAGGAATAAAGTTGGAAGCTAATCTTTCTCCTGGAATTTGCTGTCTTTTTATTTTCTTTCTCCTAAGATAAATTGTGATATCTTAAATGGCATAAATCATGTCATATTTATCTATCTCTCACACAGTCTAATGTTTCATTTAGCATATATTAAGCGTTAAATAGTGACATTTTACATCAGCAATATACTTTCTATGCTTCAATCAGGATATCTTTATTGGACAAACCACTATTTGATATTTCTCTAATAAAATTCAATCAATGCATTTGTAAGTGATCACTTACAAATCAGCATCATTCAAGGATAAAATAAGTGAAATGATGCACAAATATACAGATTGTTTTCCTAACAAATACTCTATTTGTGGAATTTACATGAGACCAAAAAGAAAATCTAAACTATCAACCTACTGTTAAAGCTGCATTGAAATATATTTCTTGCAGTGGTGCCATTGATAAATAAGATTAAATGATTTATAAACTTCCAAGTATCATGGCTGAAAATGTGGTAAAGAAGTTACTATAAAAGGCTTTAGTTTATTTAATAAAAGATCTCTGATTCAATATCTTTTCTGTTTGTTTTCAATTTTAACAATTAATGTGACACCAAGAAATCTTTATGCTAATATTATAGCTCTTTATCTGTCTTAATGAATAATTCATTCCTAGCTGAAAACTTAACTATATCATGTTAACTGGGTATGAATGAAATTTTGAAGTGCAACTCAAGTTGAAAGAATTTAACATTGAAGAGAATTCCCATAAACCATCAAAAATGCTGTGCTGGCAATATTACCTAGCACTCAAGTGTAATGGCTTCACAGTAAGCTCATGTGAGATTCCAAATTTTGTTTCTTTTCTAAGACAAATTGATGTATTTTCACACTGTGGAAGTGACTACTTTGACCTCTACATATCTAAACCATTATGCACATTATTTTCAGCTGCAGATTAAGAACCTGGGCAGTCACTGGACAGATATTTACTCTGTCAGTGTTCTTTCTTTTTTTTTTCAGGTATGCAATAAATTTAATAGTACAGATCAACAGGAGAAAAGAAATATGCAGCAGCCAATATTTGATTTTCATCCTTATCACTTTTTCTAAGGTCCTTCTAACTTGATGTAAACTTACAGTTTTCAAGGAAATTCCTATTCTACTCCCATTTTATCATAAATAAATTGAATAGTTTTTCTGTTTGTAAGATAAAAAAGGAAAGATTGTTATATTTGAATGGAAAAGGCACTCCATTTGTGATCAATGTCACCCAAAATCACATTCCCATCAGAAAACACAAACATCAACATCACAAAACTAAAAATACACAGGAGATGAATACCATTCAATAAATATGCAAGCTACTTCAGTCTCCCCGAAAAAGGACCAATACTTCAAAAAACCATAAAGAAGAGATCTGTTCATTTCCAAGTAACCCAAGTAGAAGAGACAGCAAGGTGCTATGCGTGCTACTTTAGCCCTCCCCTGGCCCTTCACTACTTAGAAAACTGCCTGCTCTCCACAGAGACTGAAAATGGGCCTCATTTCTTCTTGGGGGAGAATAAATTCACTGTCACCTTTGAGCAATATGCCCTGTTTCTCAGGAACCCTGGCTCTATACCTAGTTGTGCTTGCAAACCTCTTCATATAGTTCTGGGTAAGACTTGGAATCTGTTCCATTAAGATGGGCCATATGAACCTAGGAGTTTCACCTTGCTGGTTTCAGCATGGGCCCTTAGACCCCGCAGGAACTCATAGCGAGCAGGATCACTGTTAGGAATCTGCTGGTACATCACGTACTCTTCCTGTACTAAATCCTCAGTGATGAATTTCCAGGCTTCCTCAAAATGAATACTCCTAGACTGAGCTAACATGTCCCATCTTTTCACTTTTTCAGTTAGGTCCTCCTCACTGATACGGTTGCCCTCTGTGAAGATTAGAGACAGGACAAATATAATGATGTCAATTTTGAAAATGATTCTTTCAACATTGCCATCTAGCATTCCACTGTATGTAAGACCCAAAATGGGGACTAGCTCATATGTGTTGCCAGAGAGATTCACTTTCCTGATTTTAATGCCAAAGTCCAGATACATGGACTCACAGGGTTCCCAAAAGTTCAGAGGGAAGTTGTTACGGTAATCATGGGGCAGAACATGCAGCATTTCTTTCATGGTGACCTGCTCCTTCTTTTGATACTTGTGGAGCAGAAATGACACCAACTTACATAAGTTGGCATTTAGGAGCACATTTTGCAGGATGTGAGAGAAGCGTGCATCCTGCGAGAAGCTTGAACCCTCACAAGATTGACTCCTTTGACTGGAAGCCATGAGGACAGCAAGAATTTGCTGAGGATCAGAGGCCTTCAAATCTCCAGTGCTGGAAAATAGAGTGCTGAGCAATAGCAATTCATCTGCTCCAAGAATCCCAACCCAGATTTTGAAAAATCACAACTGAGACTTCTCCACTGCACAGTGCAAGGCTAGCAACAGAGAGAGGAATGGGTTATTGTCAGAGTCTCAACCTGGAATGTGGCCTTCTCTCTCACCGTCAGCCTGTCAGTGTTCTTTTTGTTATAGAAGAATCCTTTTGTGTTTAAGAATCCCATCACTGAAAATTTAAATGTAGAATTAACAGACCCTTTGCATCCTAAAACTCCAGTTGATGAAATGGTGGTCACACTTCTTGAGGAAAAAGCTAAACCTTGTAAATCATGTCTCAAAGTCTTAAAAACATTTGACACAATCAGAATATCTGCCCTTCCTGAATCTGTAATCGGAAATGGGCTAGGACACATGTAAGGGTAAAGATTGTCCTCAAACCTGCAAGAAGATAATCATCTTTGCCAGCTTGGTAAGACATCGTGGAAGCACTGGAGTTTTACCACATCATATGAGCAAACAGCAGGATTTTGCCACTTTCCATAACCAAACAGACCACTGTTAAGGAAAGGGTATTATCCTCTTAAGTAATGATGCACTATTTCTTTGGATTCAATATGAATCTTATAACCACTCATTTCTCTTTATTGCTTTAGTAAGGAAAAAATTCATTATAAAATTTATAGTGTAACTATCAAAATATTTTCAAAGTTGGTCTAGTCATAGATAATCCTAACATTCTTCTTACTTTATGTTTAATCTGGAGTTTCCTCGGCCTTATTTTAAATATTTATTCAAATTTTTAGTTATATTTTACATATATCTGGAAACAATTCAAATCATGTATTACAATAGGTAGAAAACAAAGAAAGAGAAAGAGGAAGGAGTAAGGGAGGATGAAGAAAAGAAGGAAAGGGAAGGAAGGAGGACAGCAGAAAAATGGAGAGAGGAAGGAAGGGAAATAAGATGCAAGTCTGGGTCTCAATCCTTGGAGATGTTTTCAAAGTTGGCCCCAAAGTCTGCTCTATTTGTGTTTGCAAAGCAAAATCCCTCCACAGACTTCACTTCCCCCTGCTTTGCTTGGGTTCCTGGCTTCTTGTCCTTCCATTTCCTGGATGTGCAGCTTGGATATGTCAGAGTGGACATGCTCTGAATTTTTTGAAGTAGTTCGCGAAACCTTGTGGAAGGGACCTGCAGAGTTTATATTATCACACTTGAGTTGTCTACGATCAGTTGGTTCATTTTCCCAATTCCCTGTCCCTTCTTACATCTTCCCCTCTTTCTTGATGTCAAGATAATTAAAACAGTTAAAGATTCTTTGCCTTGTCTTATTTCTACTTCTAGTTACCCACAGGCTTACCAGGTAACTCCATAAACAAATATGGAATTTTCCTTTCCTAGAGGAAATTCTTGGCTATTAATATATTGATATATGCATATACAAACATAAATACATTTACAGCAACCTGTATATATTTGTGGAAGGAAGAAAAGAAAGAATGAAGGAGGAAATGGAGGGAGTGCTAATTAGAGAACACTGAGGATATAGTTACTAAAATATTGAAGGTTTAGAGAGATAGAATGTTATGCTGGTTCAAATACTGATTTCATCGGCAGCCTAGCTTGGTAATTTGGAGTAAGTTATTCAACTATGCTCTGCTTCCATTGCCTCAAGTATGAAATCAGAATCCTAATCACAGCTTCCAGGTCACGGATTCTTGGAGATCTTAACTATAATAGTGTATGACAGTGCATTAAACTCTATGTAGTTCCTAGTAAACTTAGCTGATGGTATTTATTGGAGTGAGTTAATTCTGCAAGCCACCCTAGGGTGAAGAGAAATGCCTAGTGTCAGAGAGGGCTACAGATGTCATCCGGTAAAAGTGATTCTACTAAGCACTGTGTGCATTGGTCATATTTATTAGATGATTGTGCTAAAATAGCCTTTTCACCAGCACCCTGTAGACACACATGCACACAAATGCATTCTCTCTCTCTCTCTCTCTCTCTCTCTCTCTCTCTCTCTCTCCTTCAACTTCACTGCCTTGGCATCTCCATTTTCTGAAAGTCTGAATTCCAGAATAGTAAGGAGAAGTACAGGACTCCGGAATAATTCTGACCAGAAATAGAAGGGAAAAAATGGTAGGAAAGTATTCTCTTCTTTCAAAGTTTTAAGTATTTCAGTTTATAAACCACTGCCTAGGTACAGAGAAAACACATCTGAGAGCAAGTGACCCCATCAAACCTGACATGTTCAAAGACCGGAGATGTGGAGAAATAACTGGGATGCTGCACATTGCTTGCTGGCTTCTCGCTATCCTTGAGGGAGACCATGCATTATTCTATTTTGTGACAACTTACATTCCAGCCAAACACTGTTTTTAAGAGCTCAGAGTAGAACTCACCTAAACTTCTTGGGCTGCCAGAGAAAGGAAGAAGATGTCAAGGTGATCTCAGTCTCCAGGAACAATGATGATAAAGCTAACTCCTTGCATACACTTCCATTATTGGTTGCAATGTAGATTTGAGCCTCTTTCAGATTTTTTCCTGTCAACAATTTATGATTAAATGTCAGAAGATCTCTGGAATTGTGATCTGTTCAGTGGACTTTTATTCTTCCTCAAGTACTCTTAGTCATAGATGTAAAGGGTGATTTTAGGGGAGAAATATCTAATTAAAGCCTATTATGGTATCACCAAGAGGATTAAAAGGAATAGTCTTTTGAATATAGTTTTGTGCAGATTTTTTTAAAGCAGGCTTTCCATTTCTCTTGGATGTTATTTTCAAGATAAAAGCACCACAATTCCTGAACACTTTTATTGTCAGCTTTCTGGCATGTGATCCTTTTATTCAGAAAACAAGAGAGGCAGAAATATCCTCCACCTCAATCTGTGGACATAGTGCTGCATTTTTCCTACAAATATCACTTCATAAAACCAGCATTTGTCTTGTTTATATTCCCTCCACATCTCTCCTTTTTTGTCTACCTTAGGCCTTTTAAATTTAGCTGCGAGAAAAGTGCTGTATTCTGGAATCAGGTTTCCTTATCATTTTCCCAAAAGAATTATGTGCAGTATTTATTTCCCTTATGTTGCAATTTAAAATATAAGAGACGGTGTTGAATACCATCACTCTACCTCTCATCTCTTTATCAAGATGTTCTTACCCACATTTTTATATAATGAAACGAAGCTATGCATCTCTTCATTTTCTGCATAGCCCACCAGAATTTAGACTTTGGCAACCAATGAACTATTGGAATACTCCACAAGGTAAATACTTCTTCTGTTTGGCAGGGGTGAATAGTAAACAGAATTCCATGTTAAAAACAAAATAGTTCCTACCTAATTCACTTCAGTGGACAATTACTCTAAAACTTAAAAAAAAAAGTATGTATTTATCATGCTTTGTTCATAGTAGGCACTCAATAGTCATTTGGTACATGAGGAGGTAGTGAATCAGGGTATCATGCTTCTCAAAAATCCCTATATACTCAAAGAAGCATATCAGTCAGATTTTTTAAAAGTATCATTGGAATTTTTACTTTTTTCTCTATAAGTGAATATTTGGATCAAACTCCTATGGCCTTTTTCTTAGGAAATCTTGGTATTTTTTATAAATTTATGATGAACTGCCATTAAATTTCATGAGTAATTTCTTTCTCCCAATGATTACTGATCTTGTGGAGAGGGAAAGAATCCATGTGATCAGATATTGTTTTTTACCGTGACTTTTAAAAGAAATTTTCAAGCAAAATAATGTACTCTAGATACAAGCTCATTGATTTAGTTTGGTTTTTGGATTTATATATGAAATGAAATTGGTTAATTTTTAAGAGACTTACTCAGAATTATATATTTCTAATTCAAAACATCTTAGGAATTTAAAGAATGAAAAATCATCTTCATTGCTCCTCTGATTAAAATTACACTTGATACTTGATAATAGAGGGCAAAAAAAAAAGAGTAGAGAAAGACAGAGAAATTAAATATGTTGATTTGAAAGGCACATAATAAATTAGAATTCCAGAGTACAAACAGACCTATTTTTAAGGCTAGCCACTTTTAAAAATGTCTAGACACTCAGAAGTATCAATAGTTATATGGAACACATAATGCCTCCAGGAATTTAATAAGAGAAGAAAAATATAAGCTCTTTTGAAATATCTAGTACTTTTGCTATCGTGGGAATAGTATAAGATAAGAATTTTTTAGAATCCTTCTAAGAAAAGTAATAGCATTTAAGCTTTTGCAGATTTTGCCCAAGAAAGATTTTTTTTAAAGAAAAGAGAGAAATAGTTAAGGAAAAATATGTTTCCATCTTTTTAAGAAAATTATTTTCAATAATGTGCGGCACACCTACAATTAATATAACTGGCATAAGTATAATTCTCTGAAAGGGCTTGTGGGGGGCTTTTGGGTTTTATTTTTGGGGTTTTTAAATCTATTTTGCCTACTGTTGATCCAGGACACTTCCAGGAATGATTGGCTCAGCTCAATAGTTTCAAGGGATTCTCTTTAATAGTAATGAAAAGGAGTTTCTTTTTTTTATTAATTTTATTGGGACATTTTAGGTATACAGTGCAATGACATTCACCGTCAAGAATTTGCACCTGTACTAGGTATAACAGATAATGTGAAATAGGAAGAGGAGTTTCTTAAGAGCTGTTTAAAGACAATCAGAATAGTACTGGTGCTAATAATGGCTATCAGTCAGACTGAACTGCATTCTGACTATGCAATTGAATTGGGGATAGTAATTATATTATTAAAATGTAACTTCAAAATGCATAAATTCATTCGTTTCAGGGTGGAACTCCAATCCCTCCTCTCCAAGTGTTGATTTGTAGCCAAGAGCAGTCCTTGACTCGGTTGTGCTTTGTCTCCCTTCCTTGTGACAGAAAGTCTTCATTTCCCCACCTCTCCTTCCTCTACCCAAGGCCAGTCTTT